GAAGCTATGATTTCCAGAGGCTACAACAGGACTTGAGCAGAATTAGAGAAAGCAGATGTAAGTTTATTTTTTCTCTTTTGAGTCCTACTAACTCCATCAGTAAGTGTGGGTCTCTAACCTGGCAGAATGCCTAGATTTAAAGGAAATTGCATAAAATAATATATAGCACATTACTGTGGGGTTCTCCGGAATGGAGGCTGAGTTTTTACTGCAGTGCTTTTGCTGTATTTTATTAAAACCACTAGAGACCACATTAGCACAAGTGTCATGTTCCAGAGAACACACACTAGGCTGTGATTAACCAGCTCCAGCTTAAACTGTAAAATGGCTTGTCAGCAGTTGATATGTTTTTGGGAAAGCCTGGATTCATGATTGAATTAGTTTGGTGACTCTCAGTGGGCAGAAAGAATGGTCCAATTAGGGGACCTGCTGATAGACTGCACTGCTGTTGTGACTTTTTGATTGTTCTCTTGTAAAACCAAAGAACATTGTGCTAAGGCTTGTTTAAAAACACATTACAGAGCCTATTACTTTTCTTCAAAGTAATTGCTTGTCATCATCCTTCTGTCTCAGTCACTCTTTATTAAATTCCAATTTTCACACCATTGACTGAGTCGCATTGACAGTTTCTATGAAAATATAAAAATATCTGCAGTTTCCCTTTTCCATTTGTATGCATGTCGTCAGTCAGGTGTTGTCGGTGTGGGCTGTCCAGTTCATGTTTACTGATAGGATCTATGTGCTTATTCCATCATACTATGGGTGAGATGGGGTCATGTTGGTGTAATATTGTGTTTGCCCTGAGGTTGAAATAATTTTGTTTGCTATAATAGCTGCAAAACACCATATTTCCCACTGGACATTCTCCCATACAAATATTCCTGAGCTAGGGTTTAAAGGGTGGCAAAAAGAAAAATCTCAGCTTACAAATTCCATTTTCTACTGTAAAAATACTTTCATAAATGGTTAGATTTTATAGACGCATTTTTTCTTTTAATTATTTTCTGATGGCACTATGCTTTATTTACAGGGGAAAAACAGACTTTCACATTCATCCCTTTCACTGTAAGGTATCGTTCCTGTCTGCCTTCAATTATGCAGACAGTGCATTCTTTTCACATCAGACTCAGGGTCCATGTAAGCTCTTAATTCTCGACTGTTAAACAGTTATTGAAAAATGTGCCAGTGGTGCAGAATGAGGAACAAAAACACTGGCACGGCATGCTTTTTCTCTCTATTCCCGATGTTAATAACAGCCTGCTAAGGCAAGGCGACACAATTTATTATTTTTATTTAAAAAAAACAAACAAATAAACAAACAACTGCATGCTTAAGTTTTGGAAGTGTATAAATGTGGGAAGCGATTCTTTGTAAAACAGAAAACAACACAGGATTATCTGGTTTTAAACCGTTTGTTTTGTTTTTTTCCAGCATCTCTAGTGAGTTTTGGGAGTATTTGTCTTTCTTTAAATTGGTTTCCAAATTTCCCAGAGACTTGAAAATCACACAGGGACGTTGGCCCCTCACGTGGCTTGCACAGTTCTGTTCCCGCTCATCTCATCATTTCAATTACACAGCATTCATTGTCTGCACTGACCCATTTTTAAAGAGGCTCCTAACCATCAGCTGCATGGTCCCTCCAATCACACCTAATTTAATCTGGCATTTGACTCAGTCCACACTAACCTGAACATAGAGACAAATGCTATCCCTCCTCTTCATTCTGCGTTCAGCTTATCCACTGAGGCCTCCAGCCATCATTGTACCATCCCTTAACATGGAACTGCTTTTATGCTGTAGACTGATACCAGCAAGACGGACAGTTCTGGGGATTTTAGACGGAGGTCTCTGAGGAGTTCTGCGTGGCCCCAAAAGGGAACTGAAAAAGTACTAAAACATGTCAAAGATGTTCCCCGAGACAGTGCTGAGGGAGTTGATGGTTACTAATTAGCTCTTCCAATGAACTTGATTGTATTTTCTCTAATGAAGCTAATGTGACTCGGATCATTGTCTGTGCTTACAGTATTTAATCCAGCTCAATTTACCTCCGTCTGGGTTTTGTTTAATGACACTCGGCTGCATGATTTATCCACTCATTGTTTTCATGAACAACTGGTGATGTGTAACATGACATCCACGTGAATTGAACACATGCTGCATCTGTTCGCGTCAGTATAGAGGTACGAAAGCAGAATATTCATTCATCTTCTACCACTTAATTATCTTCAGGGTTGAACAGGGAAGCTGGGAGTTTAAGTGATTGGATTGGACTGTGAGACCAAATGTATGAGACCTTCACAGTTAACCTTCACATTCATATTTATGGTTAATGTAGTGTGTCCACTTAAGCTAATCCTGCGTGTTTTTGGACTGTGGCTAAAACACAAATACCTGAAAAAATTCATAGGCAACGAGAACATGCAAAGATCATACAGGAAGACGGTAGATCTGTGAGACAAAAGTGTTCTTCCACTTCTTCCACAACACTACTTTAAAAAAGAGAATGGCTTGATTTAAAATTACAGCATTTAATTAAAGTGCATTGCTGTTTTAATTGTACTCAGAAACATTGCTGACACAAGCGTCTGTGAAAGGAAAGGAGAGGAAAGTGAACTACTTGTCATTGTGACACACATCACTGCACACAACTAAATGTGACCTCTGCATTTAACCCATCACCAAAGTGCTTTTTTTGAGCGCCCGGGGAGCAGTGAGTGGGGATGGTGCCATGCTCAGAGCACCTCAGTGGTAACTTGGCAGCTGGAGGATTCAAACCTGCAACCTTCCGGTCCGCTTCCTTAACCACTAAGCCACCACTGCCCCACTGAAGCATATATATATATACACACACACACACATACATGACTTAAATGCAGAAATGTAAATGTACTCTTTAGGGTTTGTTGTCAGCTAACATTTAGAGAGAGAGGAACGAGTTCCTTGGTTCTTTTTATTCCAGTTGGCAGCTGGACTGCTCCATTTCTTCATCATTGTCACTTGTCATGCTAAAATGAGTAATTTCAATATATAACTCCACCAAATGGATTCACTCTAAAATCTACATATGACTGACATTTGCTTGTTTTTAACATAATCTGCAGTCAGATCACAGTTTCAACACAGAGCAGAAATAAATTAAATCCAATAATCCAAAGTCCTGTTATTTTTCCCATCATACCCAACATACCTTTGTCTCCTACAGCCCTGCCTAGACGGATTACAATTCTGTTTTTGTCCTTCGGGGATTTTAACAAATGATCGGAGAAGTTAATGCAGAATTGAGCCATTGTCTGTTTTCTTCTTGAAATCTTTATCGCATCAAGTAGGAGATGAGGAAGGAAGAGTGTTAAAGACACGGTACTGCATGAAACCCTATCGCTCATCTAATCAGAACCATGTTCCTAGTGCTTGAATGAAGAGGGATATCTCTGAGACTCCAATTTGTTATCTTAAAGAAGAGGGAAGGACAGAGTAACACTTCCCAGATAAGCCTGGCGTAAGGTTAATTACCAGCCCAGTGCCTGATGTTAAGGCAGCCATGTCAAGTCTTAAAATTACACACACCTAGCGAGCAGAGGACGATGTGGTATTGACAGGTGTTTCTCTCTTGACTCCTGTGAGTCTGTGAGTAGTTGTACATTAGCATGCAGTAATGTTTGTTTCAACATGTAAACATCAGTGCTCCAGTCAGAAATGGTTAGCAGGACAGCTCCAGGTAAAATGGCTCCAGAGGCCTAAAGAGCACAAACCACCTGCTTCAGTAACTGCTAGCGGAGCATGTGGCTCCTCTCCTCATTGGCGGGCAGCATTGTTAGCGTAGCTGCAGATTTCTCATTCTGTCTCTCCAGGGCATAGACTAATTAATGGATACTATTTGTGGTTGATTAGCAGTAGCTGTTTCAGTAATTACATTCACATACTAACCACTGAGAAGACAAGGCAGAGGAAAGGAGAACAAACCCCGTAATGAAACTGAAAATATATTAATGCACCTCTCACTTCACTGTCATCTTAATTTGTTTAAACTATTGTTTGGCGTCTGTTCAGATAACAAGCCTTTTTCGCCACCTCTTTCTCATCACTCATAACATTTTAAAGTGAGTGACTCTGTTATAAACACAGTGATGAGATTAGCCTGGATCCTTGGTGGAAAACAGGGGGAGCATTCACCACGGAAGCTTGCGAAGACGCGGACGCGCTGTGATTCTTTCTCCTCTGAGCCGTGTAGGCTGGGGTTTTGCACTCCTCACTCACAGAGAGGTGCATTGTGCTCCTGGGCCCAGCTGCTAGCCCATAATTCTTCATTCTATGTCCCATTGTTCCTACCTGTCAGCATGGCTGTGTCTCAGAAGAAAGGAAGTGGCTGCCATTTTGCCAGCAGGCTATGTGTGGGTTTGGGGTTGGAGGTGGAGGGTGAGGTGATGGGGAATAGTGAAAACATGTTATTTCCTGTGAAAGTTCATGTTTTTTTCCCTTTATACAGTGTGGCACTATTGTGATACCACTGGCTCTCGTGTAAACTATCATAACTCTGATACTATTTCTGTTATTAGCAAGCATGAGTGAATAGTGAGCTTAAAATCCAAATCCACCCATAATATAAAAAACATCAAACTGTCTCTTCCAGATTTCCTCTCAGTAATCTCTTCCTTAGCTTGTTTAAAGTTAATAACCTGCCACTGCATCTTGATACTTGGCTTTGTGATGCAAACATATCTTTAATTGCCTTCCCACAAGAGCTGAATAGCCAGACCAGATTCTCATTACCCTGATTCAAATTGGCCCGGGCCTCTCTTCATGTCCCAGTAATGACTGGGTGGTAGTGTGTGTAAAAAAGGGTTAACTCGCTGTGTAAACATCCACAGCCAAGTGTGGCAACCAGTTTGAGTGACAGGTGTCTGTTATGAAATGCAGGATGAAGTGCAGAGTGGTTGAGTTTCACTGGATGATTTCTGGGCACTGGTCTGATTATGTTTGTTTTGTGTTGGCTTTTTCTGCAGTTCCAGAACAACAACTACATGAACATGGCTGAGGCAAATGGAGCCCTGCTGGCTGCTGGTGATGTGAGTATGCTTAATTATACATTTTTAATGTCAAAGACATTTTTAATGTCAAAGGTACTGTAGTATGCTTAATTATACATTTTTAATGTTAAAGAGATTTTAAACAGTACCTGTACAGTACCTTTTACACTACCTGTAAAAAAAACTTTGAGTTTTTTTTTACATTTTTAATATGGAACAAGATTATTTTTTATTGCTTAGAATGCCTCATGCCCCCGGCCCACCAAGCACCTAAGCTCACAAACAAAAGCCACAGACTTACACATTATTGTCTCCTTGTATCTTTGGAGAGATTTGACCTGAGTGCCTTGACTACACTCTGTTAAGATAAAGTGTTATCACATGGAGCAGAAGATATAAACACCTGGTTCCATTGTCGTTTTTAAAAACATAATGAAGGAGTCCAAAGAATGTGCTGTGGTTCTGTCACTCTCCGAACCTCTGTGTGCTGGCACAAACTGAAAATGAAAATGTCACCACTAATCTGGCTGTGGAGCTGCTGTAATAACTCAATGTACTCTGCTGTTACATTAAAATAAAGAAGGGAATACTTTTTTCCCTCTGGAGGTAAATAGCTGCCTCTGTGAGCCATAGACGTCCTAACAGTGATCTAAATTTACTCGTTTTATTTCCCCTCCACCCACTCGGCTGCCCTGTCATTAGAGACAAGTGCACCAAAAATACCCATGATCCTCTATGGTTCAAACGGGCCAATCTCATTCACTTTAGCAGAGGGGACTAATCTGGTTTCAAAACCCACAGCAAAGCATCAGCGCACATCCAAAATACTGTGCTACATGTCATTGTTGGCAGTATTGTTTTCATTCACGCCACTCAGCCATTGGGATGCAACAGTGACACTGAACCTCAGGAGTGTTTGGAGCGTGTGACCCCGTGTTCATAAAGTGGCTGCTCCACAAAGCCACGGAGTGTCACGGAAGGAGTTTAATTTTCCTCCGCATGTACGCTGAGTGGACGCATCCTTTAAGCCGCGGAGGCCCACTGCAGCAGGACCACGCCGACACAAGCTGCTGGAGAGCATTCAGCCCCCAGCTGTGAGGGCCCACTGTGGCAGGCAGGGGTAGGGGGATGGGCCTGTGGGTGGGTTGAGGATTGGGTGGAGGGACTGGATAAAAACACCCCAACTCATTTGCATTTTATCAAAAGGAACAACTGTTTCCAGTGTTAAGGCACAGATGGCATTGTGCTAAGTAGGAGAAAGAGAGAGAAATAGTGAGTGTGGATTCTGTTTTGAGCCAATGCAGTGTCCAAATTTGTTGCAACCTGTGCTAAAGTGAGAGCAGTAAGAAGTTTTTCACATCATCTCCACTGTAACGCATTATTAATTTATTTAATGTGCCAGCCTCAGGCCAAGGGTAGAATGGAAAGTAATTTTTTTTTATGAGCGCTCCCTAATGGAAAGCTAACTTTGACTGCAAGGTTAAATATATTCTCTCCATGTTTAGTTTTATATTCTTGTCCAGTAAATCCACACAAAGTTACCATTTTAACACTGCAACTAGAATCAGAGCTGCATTCAGAAATGTAGTCAAATTGTTTATGTCAAACAGTGAATCTTAACGATGGGAATGACAAGAATTCATAAAATAAACACAAAACACTCTCACACGTGAAATCCCAACTTAAATCCATTATATTTAAATAAATGATGTCATCAGTCTACTATGCTCCATTAATGAATATAAAAGGGAATCCTAGCTGTGTTTTCCAATGATGAGATTAAATTTCTCATGCATATCATGATTGACAAGGAAGAAAGAAACAAGACTTATTTCCTTGATACAACACTCATTTGCTTTCTTGGAATCTCTTGGCAGGAAGTGATAAATACTGTAGCCCCTCTACAATTTATAGATTACTTTAAACCAAATAAACCAGTTCAGGAAGTCATACAGCATGTTTCACCGTGAGTCCATTTTTCCATTTTCCAAAATGTAGTTTGGAATCTATAAAGCAAATCACAGCTCGGAGGAAGGCTTTAGGTACATTCTTCTACAAGTTATTTTAGACATTGCATTTATCAATGTGTAACAAAAATAGATAAAAGGACAAAAACCCAACCCATCAAATATGAAATAATACATCTGGTTAAATAATTTGACTCAATACACTAACCACGAACATATCAACCTAAAATTGCCCATTACTTATAGGATAAAGACATGGTTGTTCCCAACTCTAGTTGCCGAGTCCGACATAAATAAATCAGTTAAACCTGTACAACACTGACTGTGGCATGGATCTTTGCCCATGCCTGAATTAACTTTAACTGTGCATGTGAAGCACTAGTGCTAAATGGAAGCGGTTCAACACCTGAGTGTGTGGTACTTAGCCTAAAGCAGCATCATCATCTGGAGAGTCCTTTATCGATCAGGTCTGTCTTCTGCTGCTCGTGGATTGAACTCTTCATTTGTAAAGTGGATGAATTGATACTGGTATCGTTTAATCATTTAATTAACGGTTTCAGTTACAGTGCAACCTTTGCGCCTACCGTTCAACACTCAAGTGGTTTAGCGGTTAGTGGTTCATCTTCTTTTTTTTTTTTCAAAAGCTTTACTATATGTTTAATATAAATTAATACATACTTCATATGTAGGTACTATATCCTGCATCCTCCCTAATATAATTGTTTGCTCAAGGCATGGTGCTGCTACATTCAAACAGCAGGTGTGTATTTGTTGTTGAAATAGCTGGTGTATCATTTACCTTATGCACTCAGAGGATGAGATAAGATGACCTTGGAGTGCCTGCTAAAGCATACATCCTAGCAGGGAAAGCTTGACTGCTTCTATCAGGGAAAAGGATACTGTACGGTGAGATTATGTTTCACTCAGATGGGTCACTTTACCCTCCCGATCAAATTAGAGACGGGTAATGAACTATAAATATGTAGAAATGGACTACAAATGATCCAAATTTGAAATAATGTTGATTAGGGGTGCCGGGCTTGATGTTGTCATTTGAGTAGCTGCACTCTGCCTGTCTAGATATTTGAAACCGGATCCACAATCCTGCCTCAATTGATTCAGAGGCCTATTATATGCAGTAATTGCACACGGCTGCCTTTAACAAGTCTTGGTCATCGCATCTGTGAATTGCATTACTACATTTATTGAAGGACCTGGAAGATTGCCTGAAAACCATTTCATGGTCCTTGTACTCAGTTTTGAAGTGTGGCAGCAACAGGATGAAATATCAGAAGGGAAAATTCACTGATGCACTCACAAGTAATTTTTTATGAGCTCTTGCGGATAATTTGTGTCTGTAATGGCAGCGTCATGGTATGGTGCCATGAGATTGAAACAAGTTTTCGGATGAATTAGTAAAAAAAAAGAAAAGAAAAGAAAAGTCAGTACAAATGTATGTATTATTTCAAATATATGCACCGTAGGAGATAACAGAGCATGTCTGGGCTGCACATGCTGAGACGTTTTGTCCATAGGCCACAGGCTGCAAAAGTTGGTTAGCCTTACAGCAGGAAGATCGCTGTTTGCTAGTGCAATCATTGGTCTTTCTGAATGTAGTGGTATGTTTCCTGAGTGTGCATGAGTTTTCTGTGAATACTGGGTTAATGCTAATCAGACTTAAAACCACAATAGAGATTGATTTCCAGGGTCATCAAAAAAGCTTTGAGCAGTAGAAGTTGAATGAATGAGAAAAAAAGTTCATCTTATTGTTGGTGTGTACGTGTTGTATTGTCTGTAGTAGTTATGGTTGTGCAGAGGGTGCCCCTACTGTCAGTAAGAGAACACAATGACGGTACTATAATTATTCGCTGTTAGCAAACAGAAACTAAACCGTGTTATTTTGGGACAAACATTACACCAAAGCACATACGGTAAAAATGTGTGACAATTTGTGTAACACCTTAGCCTAGGTGGTTCAGTAGACGTTTCCTACAGTAGTAGTAGTAGTAGTACTGCTGTGCTGTCAAATCACTAAACCCAGTGGTGGTGTGTGGTTTCTATGCCATTCTTTGCTCACCGCTCACCATGTGCCGTACAGTACACGCCTCCACATCCAGCATCGAGCAGTTTTAGCACTCGACTTTGCAGAGGTTTTCAGACCAATTCAAATGGATAGTGATGCAAAGAAAGTGGATGGTGCATGTTTTAATCTGTGATCAGAAACGGCTAAGCTGCTCCCGCTGCAGAATTAGACTGGCTTTATGTGAAATGACACCAGACAGCGCACTACAATGTAGCCACTCTGTGGGTTCAAGAAAAATCTGGCACCACTTTCCTATGGGGATGGTCTTTTCTTTAAAAACTGCTGACATATTCTGTACTAGCATAAAATGAGACACAAGCCCAGACCCCACATTACCGCTGCCCTCTGGTGCCGATTGTTAATCTAGGCCATTTTACAGTTGGCAGAATCTTTTAACTGGACTTGTATTAAAAAAAAAGTTTCTATTCCTTTAATTATTACTGCCGGAGAATAGTAGATATTGTATTAAAACCCTGCACCTTTTGATTGATTAAAAGTTTTCTGCTGTTTATTTCCTCCTAAAACACAGCTGACCTCAACTGAAGTCTTTGACATTTATCTCAGATCTCTAAACTAGGCCATTGTGGAGCCACCAATAGTATCCAGTGGCCTATATACTGCTGCCTTCATTTACCCTACACAATGTAACACAAAAATACTTAAATCAGCAAACAGCATCCACAATTATAATATTTAATTCTCCAAAGAATTTACACATGGACTTGTGTTGACACATTAGCCTGGAGTATTATTACTGTCAATACTGCTGTAAGAACCAGAGGCTAGTCAAGACAGTGTAAGACGATAATGATATACATGTGCTTTCATGCCAGCGCGTGATATAATACAAATGAGAGGTGCAGCAGAGATCTCAAGGCTGGTGTGAACGTTGACCCCACTCCTCCCCAGGGATGCTGAATAAGATGAATGACGACAGAGATGATGAACGATCCCTTATTGTTCCCATGTGCTACAAAAACCTTAAATGTTTTATTTCCTATCACTCGTTTGCGCGGAGCATTTGTATACCTACTTGCATGTAGTGTTGTGGATTATATTGCACAAAATTGTGAGGTGATGTGAAGATGAAAAATCGTTAAATCGTATCCTTCTGAAGGTGTCTCTGATGTATTCTGCACTCGGTGAACCAGAGGCCAGAGGTGATGAATATGACCTCAGCTCATTCCGAGAGAAGAACTGATTTTCTCGCTGTGGAACAAGCCTGGAAAAGCAAGGCAGTTGTGTGCAGCATGAGGAATACGGAGAAGAAGAAAAACGGAGAAATGAAAACTCTATTAGCCTCCTCTGCCATAGAAATTCATCAAGGCTTGTCAGGACAGCTGCCCTGACTAGGCAATGAAATCGCTTTAAGTGTCTGTGTACTAAAGCAAGGAAGAAGAACATTAATACTTTCTAATCAAGGCTCATGCCGGCACATTTCCTATGTTGACTGTGACCCATTATCCCATCCATTTCCAGAGACGTTGAGACGGAGGGAGGCGGGTCTTATTAGCCCTGTTATTGAGTGTACTTTTCTCTTGGTATTAACGGCACCTCACCTGTCTGGGTGTTGCTGCTGGTGGTATTCAAGGGAATTGGTTTTACTTGAGCTGTAACAAAAGTAGATTTTTTAATAGTAAAAAAAGTAACACCAAGACAAAAAAGTATAGTGTCAGAGATAAAGTTGAAATTGTCTCTACAGCGTTTTCTAAATTCAGTAACGTTTCATACCAATAATAACACTTTCGTCAAACAACTTGTCAGCAGTACTGACTGTCAGTACTGTCAGTGTTAGTATAAGACCTGTGCTTTGAAGATGCTGTGTGTACCCAGTGGTTTGGCCCTGTGTTGGCTGAATTAATGGGATCCTGCCTCCTTGGATGGTCATTGTGAGGATGTGATTATGTTGATTCTCCAGAGTCAAGTTCAGTGTCAGTTACAGATGACAACAAAGACCCAAGTAGGTGAGATGGCACGTAGGCAAATGAAGTGTGACCAGAAGCTTTAATTTAAAGGCCGTAGGATTAGGCTGTTTGATGAGCAGGCTTAAGGGTGCAAGCAAAGGAAACAGAAAAGGAAGCCACTTCTGGCCAAGCAGTAAAAAATCTTTGAAAATGTTTTTCAAACGCACCTCTCTCTTTGCACTTCAGCCCAGCGATTTCCAACTTCTAAATCCCATGATTACTGTTTGATATTTTTGCCTTTGAGTTTTTCATCAGCTTTTTCCCATTTCTTACCAAAGGGAACTGCAGTGAGTTTAGTAAATATTACATCTTAGTGCACTTGGCAGCAGGGTGTTACCACTCAACTAAAACATTCCATTATTAATGGAAAGTTATACAGCTATTCTCACTCACAGATATATACATAAACCTTCCTGTAGGGGTGCTATTAATTCCTTCCCTGTCATTCCCCAGGCTAATGCATGGATTCAACATTTTTTATTATTATTATTTGCATCTAAACGTGTAACTTGATTATAAACCATGTTAAATTATAGCAATCGATTTAGTTTTGGTAGAGTTGACCGGGCCACTACAGCACAGAGCTCCCCAGTTCTGTAAAGAAAACATTTTCTTTTTTACCATTGTCAGCAATTTAGTGTCTTTTTAGCTGCATCACTGCCACTGGGTCTATTTTCTCTGCAGATGAACGCAACACTGTATACTTTTTGTGACCCATTAAAGTGATTGAGGGGAATCATTTCAAATTATATTCCAGTAACATGACTTTTGTTTCCTTTCTTCCTTTTCAGACATTTCATACACCAAGCCTAGGTGATGAGGAGTTTGAGATTCCACCCATTACACCTCCACCAGAAACAGAGTCTGGTCTTGGTTTGTCTGAAGTGGACTCTCCATTCCCACCAATGCCAGAGCCCCCAGGTCCACACAGGGGTCCATTAATCCCACAGTTCCCTCCCCAGAGCCTGGATCTGCCTTCCATTACCATCTCACGCAACATGATGGACCAGGAAGGGATGACTGTCAACAACGGGCAGCCTGTGGTGAGCAATCCAATGCATTTATGCCAGTAGTAAATCAAGATGTCTGTGCACATCCTGCAACTACATAAATATGTTATCTTCATTTGTCAGCACACAAAAACTGCACACCAGCACTTTCCAGCATGTGCTACTTGCATCTGCTTATTTCCAGATGTGGTAAGAAAACAGACATATAGTGATTTATAAACACCTACTACTGCACATCCCTGAAACCCCAAAGCATGCAGTCGTTAAATTAGCCCTTTTACTCAGCCACGATGTCACCTTCAGAGTTTTCTGTTCACCTCCTGTTGTCAGTGCATCTGGAACAGCATCTGGCCTTGTTTACAACACAGAAGGTATATGATCACGTTGAGTAAATGTCATGATATTATGTTACTTACTGTGAGTATATTTATAAGAAAAAAGAGAGTGTGTAGAGTGTTGGATGATCCTCCTTCTGTAAGGTGAGCAGATGTGACTAGATCACAGGTGTTTGAGCACCGAGTCCGTGCAGCCCCAGAAGGACAGAGAAAATGGGACCCAAAAGTGCCACAGTTCCACTAGCTCATATTTAATTCATGCCCCTTGCTGAAGCCACTTTTTGTGCGATAAATGCTGATGCATGCTTCTGTCCAATCTCTCATGTGGTCTTAGGAAAAGACACCTGCTTTGTGTGGTGTTTAAGGGCCAGCTTTGTTTCTCTGTTTAGGAGAATTACTTTTCTAGTGAGGTTTCGTCTAACATATTTGCCGACTAATCCTCCTTTCCACTGCCACACTTGGTCACACACAGAACAGTAGACAAAGTAATATGTCTCTTTAGGTTGATAACCGCTGTATGCCATAGATTGCGAGATTGCTGTCTGGGAATGGAAAGGCATTTTGAAATGCCACAATCACGGAGGCATTGAGGAGTAAAAAATGGAAATGCCACTGGCTGACTAGTTGTCTTAGAAACCTATTACAAAATTGAGGGATTCGTTTAGAAGCAGGGAGAAGGAAAGGACAAAGGAGTGAGCTGAGAGATGAGAGGAGTGATGGTGAATTAGCTTTGTGAACCACAAAGCACAGCAGAGGTGTCATGATCATTACAACTGTTTGAATAAATGAACATTTTGTTAAAACCCTGCTCCTCCTCCTCCTCCTCCTCCTCCTCTTCCTTCCTCTTTAACACATTTGCTGAAACCCACTGATATTAGAGATATTTATTTACATTCCATATGGGAGAGGGCTATAAAATTTTACAGCTCTTTTTCCTGCTTCCATGCTCCTGGCATGTGAAATAATTGCAGCTTTTAAAATATCTCTGCCGTATACAGTAAGTGAGCCCCAGAAGGCTTTTGCCTAAAGAATTTTCATTTCATGGTCAGTTAAGCTTTCTACATCTGGAAGAAACAGAACCTTGACACAATTACATTCCCCAACTTTTCTCACGACTTGGTGGAGGATTAGATTTGATTCTCAAACATTATTCCTCTTTAACTCCATTTGCATGGCTCATGTCTCCGACTGTGCACAGACTCTATTAAAAACTGAGGAGAGAATATGGCTTTCTTCCCCCTGCCTCGTGGCGTTGTCGCCGGCGCACCACTCAGCCGTTATCAGTCATCACACATTGTAGTGTGGTATGGCTCGTGGTGGCCCTTCATCTTCCCTGTAAATGGGATTGATCCCCAAAAGTCTTGTGATGACGCCTGTAGAAATTCCATTCATGTACAGGGTTTATCTCCATCATGAAAAGGGAACGCAACTTTTAAAACCAGATAAGTAACAGTGCTTTTCAGCCTTCTGTACACAGAGACAATGATTTACGAAGGCCCTAAGAGTGGTGTTTTGTCATTTTGTCAGTGTGCTGATAAAGGGATGACAACCTTATATACATGATTACATTCTGTATTATTTGTTATGGCTGCAGGGGCAAACAAATAAACCGTGCACTACTACAATTACATTTTTCATCAAGCTCCCCTGCTCATATTTCCCGAACACTTGTCCAGGATTTTCTTTTCTCTGCACAATCTCACCATTACAGAATGTTTAGAGTGTGTGGAAGTCTGTCTCTTATCAGGACTTAATGAGAAATCCGCACAGTGAATATACCTGGGCTGTTTTCAGAAAGCTTTGTCCATGCTGCTCCATTACCAAGTGTTCTGCTAATTCCTGTCCCTGTAATGTCCAGCATATGTCTCTGTTAAATTGGCCACAGATGCCGAACCTCTACAAAGAGACAAAGTACATTTTTTTCTCATCTGCAATGTGCCGGGCTCAGCCCTGGATCTGAAGTCATTATTTATTTAATCTGCTCTCCTAACAAGCTTCTGACTCTCATTTTTGTTCCCCAGCATGTGTCCTCCTGACCTGTGATTGAGTCTCAATAGTGCCAAATAGTAGTGGAGTTAGAGCTGCCAGTATTGCTTTATTCACAATTTCTTCTTGATTTTTCTGCCTCCTGCACAGCGAGGGTCTCTGGGTTCCATTTCAAAAAACACCTGGTGCCTTGGCCACATTTGAGGTTTTTCTCGACACATGTAAGGATGTACTGAAATGAGTTCTGTGTCTTCCGTGATTGGATTTGAAACCGACAGTAGTCAACCACTTGTACTGTGTGTTAAAATCAATATTTTAGAGATTCCTGCCCTGCTGTCCTATTATATTTACCACCATTTGGTGACACGTTATATATTTTTCATTGCAAGGTAGCAGCTTCACGTCATTAGTTTTACAGCAGCAGAGATATGCTAATCTGCGACACCAAACCATATTCTGGGCTACATACATCAGATGAAAAGCCATTTACAGTGTGCATTGCACCTGATTTCATATGCTTTGACATTGCGGAGATTACCAGTGAGTATAATGCCCTCAGTTTTGACTGCTCGTCGACCACTATATCCTGAATCAAACGAAAAATACGAGCAGTGTTGCAGAAAGCCTGTTTTTCTACACATTCCTCTTATCTCCCTTCCAAGCCAAGAACCACTGACATGAGTTGTACATCAATTTAAGAGAGTGGATTTTTTTTCACTCTGCTTCACTCTTTCTTCTTCTCTCCCTCAACTGACAACCATTGTGACATATTGGGTCAGTCAGAAATGAAAGATATTCATGCAGGCATGCAATGCTTGTAATGAAGACTCGGCTTGACCTTCTGCGTGATTGATTCTGTAATTTACTTTTCTCCGCCAGCTCCAAAAATGAAATGATGTCATGTTGGACAGGTTTTAAATACCCATAATGCACTGCCAGAAATTATTATAAGATGGTAAGGGTCAGCGGCTGTAGCAGAACAAGGTGGGGGAGGGGTGGAGGCTCCGTATTCTGAGGGTGGGGGAGAGCACGGGGGGCAGGGAGAGAAATTTGTTTTTAAGTGGGGGTTAGAGGTTGGTGAGATGGATGGACTGAGTTTGCACACCACAGAGAGAGAGAGAGAGCAAGAAAGAAGTGTGTTTGACTTCGACAGGGCAGGGGAAAGAAAAACAATTTATCTTCATGCTATTATAGCCTTTACCGTCATTCACAGTTCCATTTTTCTCATTTGGCTTAAGCACAGACTTCAGCCGGTTGCAGAAAATAGAGGAGGAAAAAAAATAAAATCATGTTCCCGTTTAGAAGGCGAGTAAAGGAATATGTGCAGAGTGCTGATAAACTATCTTTAATAGGACTGACCTTTCATGCTGGCAAAAGTTACTGGGGGATTCATCCTTATAATTACCATATAGATGATTTTACCCCTCTCCTGCCATGGAACATTTCTAAGAGCTCCAGCATTGATTGAATGGAAATTAAACTTGTTAACATTCTTTTCAGCTTGTTACAGCTTAGTATATAGAGGCACTGTTCATAAAATCAGTCAAATTCTGTTTCCCTAATATCTTTAGGAACAGACTGTTTAAACACTTTGAGATTTTTATCACTTGGTGAATGTTTAATGCTGCCACCGTGTTTATTGACTTGCCTTTAGAGTGGAAGATGTTCACACAGTTTTTTTTCTTTAATGCTTGATGTGACCACATGCAGTGTGATGGTTGTGATAACAGTAAGTAAAGCAGCGACGTACAAAACTGTTTTTTTTTATCTCTTTTTTGCCATGTATTGTTCACAGAACTCAGTTGATGCCTGTTTTTTTAGCCTGGACTTTAAAAGTAACAAACTGTGGGGATTTTTTCTAAAGAAATAACCCCCCCAAAAAACCAACCCTTGTTCATCTTAAAGTGGGTTTATTTTGTTGGGCTTTCATGTACAAACACAAAGACACAACACACCTAGTTATACACACACATGGTCCTGACTGAGGAGGGCACATCTGGCCATTGTGTGCTCAAGATAAGGACTTGCTTGCAGATTTACGATCACTATCAAAATATCTGGTTAGATGTCTGCTGTGACTGTTGACAATGTTGCAATCAAAATGCAAATGTGAAACCAGAGGGACGTAAAGACACGTCTTTGCTACAAGAATCATATTCATAATCAACTCAGCTGTTATTTAACACGGTTCTCCCACTTTCCTTGGGTTTTGAAAGCTATAATTTCATTGTCATTGTGATCATACGTGTGTTGCATGGATGTGACCATTCTGTGACATCATCTGAACATTATCGGCTCTGTCATTCCATTTGCTGTAATAATGTGATATGTGGGTGCATATCTTTCCACATCCAAAGGGCTTTTATTACAAATTACCATATTCCAAACAAATGGCATCATGGGCCATTTCTCTAAGTCGGAACAGCATCACAGGGATTGGACAGATGCATTATTATACAGATGGCTACAGCTAATGAGCCCAGTGTGTGCACATCTTTGATGTTGGTAGCGAGCAGAGGGCAAACTGCGAGCCGACGCATTCTCGGTAATGAAGATGACGATGGCAATTGGAACATGGCAGGTTGTAGATATGTGTCATTTGGTCACGGGCTTATTTACTGCAGTTTTTATTGGTGAGGCAAACAGGAAGCTTCCACATTTGAAGAGAAATACGTCTCCCGATTTCTCCTCTAATGCTGTCTCACCTTCGGCAGAACCTCTCTCACTCGTGTAAATATAAATCTGCTCTCACTTCATAGATTGTGTTTATGATAAACAGCAGACGTGGCATATGAAAAAGAAATGGGTTGTAGATCCAATATGTTGCTGTTGGAAAGGCTGTTCCAATATTGTTTTTGAAAACAGGCATCCGTAAGGTTCTTTCAATAAAGCCAGGTGTGTGGGTTTATGATGTGTTGATGTTGGGAGAGATTGAGTTTTGCTGCTGAATACCAGATGGATGTATCCAGGGAGAACAAATCACCTTTTTTGTTGTGTTCACCTCCTCTCCGCTGTTCCATGTCAGCTCTGCTGGCTCCCTGATCAGTCTTCCCTCTGGGGAGCTGGCAGCCCTGGTAATTTCATCCCACCACAATCAATGCACAAATGCTGCCTATACTTTCTCTAAGACTCTGTCAGGAGCTGAACATTTCACTGAAAAATAAAAGTGCAACTGTCAAACAATTTAAAGATTAACCACACATTGATCATGATTATTCATGATTAATCATATTTTGTGGCACTTTGGCCCAGAGTTAATGTCTCTGTCATTGGTGTGGAACCCCAGAGTTCACCTCCTGGGCAAGTTCGAATCCCGGTTAGGGTGGTTGGTACCTTCCAGTGGACTCACCACCCGCAGGAAGGTTTGGGGGTTTGGTACGGTGCAGTGTGATTTGGGTGGCAACTGCTGCCCCCGCGACCTGGTAACGGATAAGCGGCTGAAAATGGATGGATGGATAATCTTTTTTTTTTTCTGTTTTTCTGTAACTAATAACTGCAGGTAGAGGGTGGTATTTCACACCTGTTTTCACAATTAAATGAACATGATTACTGTCTTAACTTTAACAGCTCTAAGAAAATGCTTACATATTCACACTGGATCTGAGAACAGTGAGAAGAAACTGATCTAAAGCTCTGGAGCATCACACCTCCTGTGATCTTCTTCTTGATTTCTGGGATTGATGATATGGAAGTATTTTATCTTCTTGTATGTGGTTGCACATGATTTATGAAAGGTGCCAGTTTCACAGAACTATAACTCCAGAGAATGCCCTGGGGTCACCTCAGTCTAAACTAAACTGACATGTAGATGCCTACATACGAACTGCAAATAATTATTTTTAATGTATTTCTTATCATGGAATTTCAAGTAATGTGCCACAGTGCGAAGACATTAGTCCTCTTCCTCTCTAGGGATCGGCCAGTCAAAAGTTGTCACAGATTTCCATACAATGGAGTTTCGAAATGAATCAACGGAGCTGTGCAGCCATCTATTACCACCTTATAAAGCTGGCTCCTCGGGTGTCAAGATAATTTATCATGGCCAGTAATGGATACATTTAAGACCCAGAACATGGTGACATGTGATCTGCCACATAACAATCCAAAGAATCCAGTGACCCGATTTCATCTCTGTTAAAGGATACAGCTTCATAATGTACGTGGTGTGTAGAGGGATTTGTTGCACGTATTGTTGTGGTACAGGCACCGAGGTATGGTGCAGGCAGTCATTATGTACTATGTCTGAGACACTGCAGTTTTTCTGAGTGCCACACGGCTGCTTGTTTCTGTTCAGTCTTTGTTTTGGCCTGAGTTTGTGCGCAATATGTTGGGTTTCTGTGTGTGAAGAGTTACAAACAAAACTATTGAATAAACGAATATCATGCAGATATGGTAGATAAATAGGCTTAATATGATCTTTGATTTTTTTTTAAGTAAAGTTAGTTACCTTTTGTGGACGAGTATAAAAACCGAAGAACAGTCAGTGAATTTTTACAATAATCTTTCTTTTTCTACCATTTTTTTTTCTGTGGTACAGAATATGGGTCCGGGCCACCTGCGTCAATACCCACCAAATCCAGCAATGGTGATGAAGTCCATCATCAACATGAGCAACTCTAATGGAATGATGGCAAGGAGTCAGCTTGCAACCATCAACCAATCACAGCTCAACACGCAGAACCTAAGCATGGCAGGACCTAACATCACCCATACCTCCCCGTCTCCACCTGCCAGCAAGTCTGCTACGCCCTCACCCTCCAGCTCCATCAATGAAGACGAGCAGGATGACAGCAACAGGGTCAGCAGTTAGTTTCAATAGATAATGTCAAAGAATCAGGATATAGAAAAGCATTGGTTAACCTGGCACATTCTTTTACTGCAGGTTATCGGTGAGAAACGACCAGCTCCCATCGATCCTGCAAAGAAACCCAAGACTCCAAAGAAGAAGAAGAAGAAGGATCCAAATGAGCCTCAGAAGCCGGTGTCTGCGTATGCTCTGTTCTTCAGAGACACCCAGGCTGCCATTAAGGGTCAGAATCCCAATGCTACTTTTGGGGAGGTGTCCAAGATTGTGGCCTCCATGTGGGATGGTCTGGGAGAGGAGCAGAAGCAGGTACGAAGAAATACTTCTATTATTTAAACTGTGTCTTTAAAAAGAAATGTGATAACTCTTTTAAATGATTTTTGTTGGGTTGGAGTTAAATAAACTTTAGATTCAGCATTAGTACGCCTGCCTAAAACTCTTGCTAGGTACAACATGTTTATCTGTCTTGTTTGTCTTTGGTTGAAGGAGTGTTATTTTTACATTACCTCTTTTATTTACACACACTTTTGTCTCCCAGGTTTACAAAAGCAAAACAGAAGCTGCCAAGAAAGAGTATCTGAAAGCCTTGGCTGCGTACCGTGCTAGTCTGGTTTCCAAAGTAAGAACCTTCCCAATCTTTTTACTGGAAATGTGTGAATTTGACAAAACAGCAAATTCAATTTTCATATTTGTCATGAAAATATGCAGTGTGATATTGTGGAAAGGTCTCGGCTCCTGGAGGCGTGGATCGTCTATGAACCTTTGCACTTTAAAGCTGTGAATTTGTGGATCATTGCTAATGCTCCTGATTTCTGTCTTCAGGCTGCAGCAGAGTCAGCTGAAGCCCAAACCATCCGCACAGTGCAGCAGACTCTAGCCTCCACCAGCTTGTCCCCAGGCCTGGTGCTGCCTTCACCTCTGAACCAGCACCCCTCGATGTCGTCAGCATCCCAGGCCTTACAAAGAGCCATCGCGCCGAAGCCTCTGCAGATGAGACTAGGAGGAAGTCAGATTGTGACTTCGGTCACAGTTTCCCACCAAAACATGTCATCTGGAATGCCACCGCAGCTGCTGGGCCAGATGGGTGCAGGAGGAGGAGCCATGGTGGCAGGTGCCCAGTCAACGGCAGTGTCTCAGATGAGCCCGCCCATGCAACCGGTGCAGCAGCCGCAACATGCAATGCAGCAGCTTCAACAGCAGCAGCAGATGCAGCAGCACCTCCAGCACCATCAGATGCAGCAACAGCAGATGCATCACCAGCAGATCCAGCAACAGATGCAGCATCAGCAATTTCAGCACCACCTCCAGCAGCAGCTGCAGCAGCACCACATGCAGCAGCAGCAGCAGCAGCAACAACAGCAGCAACAACAACAGCAGCAGCAGCAGCAACAAATGCAGCTGCAGCACATGCAGATGTTGCATCAGCAGCAGATTCAACATCTCCAGCAGCAGCAGCAGCAGCATCAGTCCCAGTGTTCCCCTCCGCAGCATTCTCCTGGCACACCACATTCAGTGGCAGGCTCCGCGTCACTGGGCAGCCCACAACCAGCCCCCCAGCAGCAGCCGCCACATCCCTCCCAAATCCAGGCCCATGCTCAGGTCCTGTCCCAGGTCAGCATCTACTGAGCCAAATCTCAAAGAACATAAATAAATGAAAGCATCATTCCACGTTGCTTTTCTAAGTTGCACTTAAGAAGTGTGTAAGATTTAGAATGTTATACAAAGAAGTTGTCCATTGTTATAGACGGATATGCACAAGAGTGTATAGGAAGTTAACTTGTTAGCTGGGATTTTGTCTATAAAATAGGCTGAGCTAAGACAGTTGGGGCGTCGCCCAGTGATTGTTTATTTGTTTGTTTGTGAGGTCTCTCAGTTGTCTCGTTAGAATGACTGGACACAAAACGTTGGAAGGCGCGAGTCTTTTGCTGTTTTATTTAACACTAAAGCTTTATTTATGAGGCCGGAGTTATCAGCAGACCGCAGCAAAAGGACTTTCACCGAAGGAATTTTTATCAGCGGACTGACTGACTCACAGGACCCTTGCTGAAAACTTGCAACCACACAACACTGGTCAGTATGTAAAAACACTTTGTTTACTGCAGGCTTTTATCTTTCACTACTTGTTCTCACAGATGTAATTGTTCAAAGTTTAGCATGAAAGAAACCATCAAACAGAATTGTCACATCAGAGGCGCGGTGTGATATTTAAATACGCTTAAACCACATCACACACACTGTCACGGAGAACAAAGAGAACTGAAAATGAAAGGTCTTGGGATGAAGATCTGTGGATGAGTGAGTGACTAGACTCAGACACACACCCACCATGAATCATCTATGTAATCACATCATCAAACTGTAGCTGTAATCTGCTGTACATGTTTTGTAGATTCAACCCTCCAGGTGATTTGCTGAAAATCTTGTAACTGGCATCCCCGTTACCCCGTAAAAATCTCTTCTTTAATCTATTTGTTTTTACTTCAGATGTCTAACAATTAAATTATGTTTTTATTTTGTGTAACAAAAAGGGATATTTTATGGTAAATATTCAATTTTCTGGGTCAAAGTAGATGGTTTGGGATTAATGTATTTTTATTCTGCACCATCATTGTTTAGTAAAAAAACAAAAAAATAAAAACTAGCAGAGCCAGATTGATGCACTGCCAAAGCTAACTCAAAAAGACATTGGAGGTATTTTTGCCAGCTGTGTAAAAGCCCCTGAAAAAAGCAAATGTTGTACATTTTTCATATCACCTGTTGTAAAGTTTTAATATGTGAGGCTTTAATTAAAACGTTGTAAAACGACCTGTGGATTGCTATATCACATAGTGCATTTCTGCTCTTTTATACTTTTTTATGAGTTACAATAGCGGTGATTTTCATTTTGTTTGTATTTTGCTGACACACCAACTGCTTCTGAAACTGTTCACAGATAAATGCTATCCATATGGAGCGCAAGAGAAAATGTGCCAGAAAACGTAATTTAATGTTGGAGTTTTTCGCTGGTCCATGAAGTGGAATCCTGAGACGTTCCATCTCAAATATGATAGCAGCCATAATTTTGTATGAAGTATTATATATTGATTTGTGTCACTGTTCAGAATTAAACTATCAATCACAAATATATATTTGAAGGAATCACTTTATTTCAAAGCTCAGATTAGCAACAGGATGTGAGAGATGTTTCTTTATGCCAAGGTTCAGTACGGAGGATTTTCACTGTGGAACACTGGTGTCTACGTGTTTTTGACTACTACACAAATGAAAATACTCCACTCTGCAAAATGAGTAAATATATGTAAAATGTCCAATGTTATGTAGGTGGGTATTCTGTGTAGTCTGGGTTTCAATAAATCTGCAATAAATTAGAAAGCAGTGTTATTTACTTTAGGTGGCACAGCTCTGTAGGTAATAGATGTGCGTTGTGTAGTAGGGTTGTGCCAATACATCGATTATTAGATTAATCTCGCTGCGACACGTGACGATTCGACTACGATTTTCACAATAACAAAAGGACCGGAAGACAGCCGCTGCTCGTGGAACGAAAGTAAAAGTCGCGCGTGCCGCCGGGACACCTGAAGGAAAGGACCAAAAGAAGATGTCGGCAGCCAACTCTGCTACAGTTCGTTAAGGACTCAATATTAACGTTTGGAAGCATGTTGGTTTTTATCAATATGAAAATGCAAAAGGTATTTACAAAACCAACTCCATATGTAAGGCGTGTAAACTTGAATTAAGTATAGTGGTAATGATACCACACAATCATGCGACCACTCGTTTCCACCCCGGGTTAGGGGATGAGAACAATCCGCCGGTTGTTGCTGCTAACCACCGAACAATAGAAGAAGGATTGTCAATACAACTTTCGAAGCGAAAGTACTTTGCCCGGAAAGCAGTTCCCTAACTCTACAACGTCACCAAAACCAAAGTACTGGAATCACTGAAAAAGAGTGTTGGATAGCTCCAACGTGCGAGTGTTACGGTAAGTCAGACAAACATCATGCCCTGGCATGATTTAATTCACTGTATTCTTTTATCCATTTACTATGTATTCAAAGACCCAAATGTCAAGTGTTATGAGAGCTGGTGGTGTAAGGATTTTGGTTAAAATAAGTCTTTTTAAAGGCACATTATGTTATCTGTTTTACAGAACATGTGAAATTCACCATTTTTTTTTTCTGCACTGTTGAATAACATAGAATTATTATTATTATTTCTATTTGAAAGTAAATGTTTTGCAATGAAGGAAAGTAACTGGTTAACTGTTGTGTATAAGAGCAGCTTTTTGTTGTTTAGGCTACTGCTACAGGTACACTTTTTTCCTGTTGGTTCCATGGTTTCTGTTGGATCATTTGGTGATTTGACATGAATAAAAGATAATGGAGACACATTTGTTTGGTCATATTACTTGTGAAAAGTATGAAGTAGCCACAAAGTGAGGGAAAAAAGAAACCCTGAATTGGCAAAAAAAAGATGCATCGATAATTGTTGATGTTGTGATAATGGTTGTATAATCGAATCGTAGCACCCTGAATCGTAATCAAACCCAATCATGAGGTCCCTTAGAAAAAACACAGTGAAGCAGAAAGAATACTTACAGCCTGTTTTATTTTTGGCACTGTCGTCAAACAAACAATGATACACACATTAGACAGTAGGTCAAGAAAGTATGGATAATATATTCAAACATATGAAAATATAAAGATTTGTTAAATATTCTACATAGTTAAGAGGGCTAGCTGAACAGCAAGTGAGCGGAACTTTTACTCCAATAAAAGTTCCACTCACATTAGTGTACTCAGCTTTAAGGTTCGTCTTCAGGTTTCATTAATTTGCTTTATTCTAACAGAACAAATCTTACAGTAAGTCTTGTTCATGTCTTCATTCTTAAAGTTAAATATCTCCAAACTGCTGACATTGTTGACCTGCTTAAATAATTGTCCCAGGAGGAATCAGACACTGAAGCAGAAGAGGAAAACAAAAAACACTGGCAGACACAGCTGGGTGTGGTGAAAAGCTGTTGTGGAATATCTGGTCCAAGGATTGACACATTTGAGTAAGGAGAATGAGTGTTTGCACCGACAACTATGTCTTGGATAAAATCAGAACTGTGTCTTTGATTTAAAAAATGTACATTTGGGGATGTGTTACTGACAATTCCATTGGTGAGCTGATCCTTCTCCTCCCTCCATCGATTACTTTTTCCTAATTTGGCTTCTAGTATCTGGGAACTTTGAAGTTGAGCTACGTCAATCTACTTGTTTCGTTTTCCACCGCTTAACATTTACATCAATATTTTTAACACTTTGCATGGAAAAATAGAAATATATAGGCAGGGGCAGCACTGCTGCAGATGCCACATGCCATCATATACTTAAATCAGTCAAATAAAAGTCAAAGACCTTTGCAAAATTCTACATTTCACATAAATATTTCTTCAACTCAATTCATAGTACTTTTACAAAAATTACAATTGTATATTCTCTAGAGAGTGACTCAACAAAATAAAATAAAAACGTGTCAGTGACACACAAGCTTTAATGTGGTCATTATTACAGTGTGTGCTTTGTCAGTGATGTGAGTGGAAATTCATGAAAACAGTGTTGGTGCCGGACAAGGTCAGGATGTAACTGGTACTTGTCTCAATAACAGTCCCCTCCTCACACACCAGTGCATTGGATTCTGCTGCTTTCTTACTCCTTTCAATATCGCTTCATTTCCAAGACATCCCCAGGGGTTTGCTGAGCTCCCTTGAATAATATGGTGAGTGGGGGAGGGAAGGCAGGCAAACAATAATTATCATATCCTCACAATGGGCTGTGAATCCACTGGCCCAAAGCTGGCCTTCTTTTTTTCCACAGGCAGCTGAGGCATTTCTTTTTCTTTTTCTTTTTTTTCTTTAACACAAACTCATGTTAGTTACAAATTAGGAGTGAGATTCTCCCGCTGTCTTTCTATGATACCAGTGTGATAGGTTTTTTTACATTTTGGTTTGTATTCATTTGGCTTGTTTAATAGAGGCAGATGTAATTTTGGTCCAAAGCCTGCCTCTGATTGGCTGTTTAGCTCAGTATGAAACCATGCCTATTTCTATGCCTTGATTAATTGCAGCATCTGTCCTGTCAGAAGCCAGAGTGAAGAGATCTGCATGAAAACTGCAAATAAGTGCTGGCAACAGTCTTAAAGTGCTTATGATGAAATAAAAATTAAAAACAGCAAGAGCAGCACGTGACCTGAATCTCAATACAAGGGGAGAAAAGGAGGATGTGGAAGTGGGTGTCCATGGATACCAAACGCAAGCTTTAAAAACACACAGTAATGAGGCTCTGGGAAATGGCTGTTATTATTCTGAACAGATTCACAGCAGAGCCTATTAATAATGCATGGAGCTCCTTGTTATTCCATAACCCCTCACTGCTGCGGTCACTGTGTACAAATATCTCACAGTCAGGGTTGGAGTTATGGGACTTTGCAATAAAGAGGTTACAGATATTTTCAAAACAGTGTTACACACACACATAATTTACAAAGATAATACACTGCAGCTTGTGTAAACGAGGTGGTGTTCTAATTGGCTGAGGTGAATAAATACATTTCTGCACTTCATGTTGTAGACTCAGACTGTCTGGAGGAGAAATACGTATATATATTTTTCTTTCAAATAATGCAACCTGATCACAGGAGCTTGAAGCAATCAATAGCAGCTCCTCTCTCCCTCTGTTCTCATCATTAACCATGGCTGATAAAGTGCATGAAGGCTGCTTTGACATTAATGTGTCATTTGAGTAATGCAATCACGAGGTGACCCAAATGTCCTCCTCCTCTCCGCTGAGGTCAGTGGCTCGGCAGTGTGCCAAAGATGACCAAGGAGTCAGATGTGGAAGCTGGAGGATTCCGCATTTTAATGATTTATTTGGCTCTTTTGTTGTTTTCCTGTCCACTGCACAAATACAATGCGAGCAAAACAAAAGCCCTGCTGACACTGACCATCTGACCGTCAGACCCACGCCGCAGCCAGTCGCACAGTCTGGACTGAGGTCACACATGCAGGATCTGCCTCTTTACTCTTTCACTAAACTTTGTTTCCCGAGGTTAACAAGAGACAACAGACCCTTGTTGGGTGGAGATCAATGACAGCTGCACCTACAAGTCCAACGCCAGGTCTTGTTCAGAGGGAGGAGTCAAGAGGGACTCAAGTCCTGGTCTGACCAAGTATCTGGAATCTTGACCTTAAGATGATGAGTTTTTTTGGGAGAGAACTACTGACCTCTCAGATGAAAAGTGGACTTTGTCTGAAGGCTGTGGGTTGGATGGATTGTTGACATCTTTGACCAATGGTATGGTTTGTTTAGAGGACGTTTGGCTTTTGGCCTGTGGATGTGATGGAAAGCTGCAGATGATGCCCTTGAGCAGTGTTGCCAGGACTAGTACAAATATTATTGTTCTGACAAAAGCCTTATGAAGTATTCCTTCCAGACTGGTTGAATATCTGTGGTGTCCAAATAAATTGGTTGTTAAAATATACCCCCCAAAAATATATATAATCAGCTGTTCTTTTAAAAAAATATTTTTAAATTTATAAAAAGTTATAACTAAATCAATAACCACACAAACCTTTAAATTGTTTTAGTAGAAAAAGACCTCATTCACTATAATGTCAACTGGTGACATTGAATTGATGTGTTTGATGAGCTGAATTTACAGTATATATTTAAGCATATATAGCCAGAATCTATCCTTTTGTTCAAAACACAATAAACAATACATATTTACAGTTGTTTTTTTAGAAGGCAGTTTTCACAAAGGAGAACATCACCACAGCTCAAAACACATGACATGGATTTGTTTTGATGTGATGGCTGAATCCAAACAAAGGCAAAAAGAAAAGACATGAGAAGAAATGTCTTGTTGTTTGGAGTGTGGTTCATCACGAGGTGTTGTCAGGTGTGACTGTTCCAGGCCCTGCATGTAGGCACTGCTAACAGAACAAACAACAGCCCTCTGTAATGTTCTACTGAGACCCAACTGCCTTCGCCATACACATTAGACTTCTAACACAGACACAGAGAAAATGTTTGTTTGGTAAACTGAAGCATGGGTTTGGGCACCCAGTGTGCATTGCAAAAAATATACTGTATGGAATCTAGAAATTAGGTAAAATATATTTTTGATAACTGATAACTATCTGGGCCACATGGTGGAAGAGAGGTTAAGGCCCTAGCCTTACATTAATGACATTACTTGTTTGATCCTCAAGGGTTTCTAATAGTTTCTGAAAATTTTCCCATTTTTTAATAATTGACCATTAAAAAAACCTGTTTGATGGTCATATCAGTGAGATTCACGGCCCTGAGTAAACCATTGTACTTATACCGTCATTAAAATGAACATCTGAAATGCTTTTTACAATTGATTGCCATTGTGACAATGGCAGCAGGGAACATGGGGTGCTGGTTCACTTCTGATTATTTGTGTTTGATCAGTTGTTGTTGTTGTTCATTGCCAGTTGTTAAGAGACTGAATGCATCTGGAGCTTTTAATCTGTGATGTGTTATAGATTTGATGTAAAAGAAATAAATGCATTGCAATCTGTCGGTGATTTAAAAAAGCTTTTTTTATTCTGACAAATCATCGTGCCCCTGAGGTTGACAGATGTCCTTGCACAGGATGGATAAGAAAGCACTTGTTTTTTATTTAGAGACTTGGTTTGCTTGAGGAATGTAAAATGCAGCTTTCTCTCTACCTGCTGCAAATTTTCAATTTATTTTCATCAGTGTTTTTATTGGCTTTGCGTTCGTCTGAGGTTGCTAACTCTGAAATGCCTTTTAGTGCAACTTACTTAGCCTGTTAATATAGGCTATTACTGAGGCAACATGTTTCTATGGCAACAAAACTGATAAAGTGCACCAGGAGACCAGAGTGATAGATTAGACGTACATGCTGTGTCACATCCAATTAAGTCAAACTGACTGTACACCACATTATGCTGCGGCTTGAAGGGAAATCAATAAATATGGACAGTAACCTAACAAGGTTCCCCCCTTAGTTTCTTTCTGCCGTCCCCTCTGATGCCAGCGGAGCCAAGACAGATCATGCCACTAGGATGTCCCTGCTGCTACAAGAGGCAGGTGCTGTGTAGACACCATTCAAAACTTGGCCTATTCAGTCCAACTCCTCTAACGCTCCATTCATGCATAGCAAAACACCATCTGCTCCTGTTTTGCCTGGAGCAATCACAGCTGACCAAAAAAAAGAAAAAAGAAGAAGAAATCCATGATAACAGCTGTTGCCAAACAAAAGGCAAACAAAGGAGGAGTAGGAAAAGGTTAGGGACAAGTTCAGCACCAGGAATGACTCATTTGAGAGGATGAAGGAAAACATTTACTCTCACCTTTCAGCACTGAGAGAGGGAGAGAGAGAGAGAGAGGGGGAGAAAGGGTTAAAGTTGAATGGTGAAAATGTTCTGCACAGCTGGAAAA